GAGGGGAGAGAAAGAGCAGCAGATCCCGGCCGGATTCCGGCGACATTGCGGTCTCCCTTAGCTAGGTAACTTCCTGATCCGAACACGTAAGGGGCGCCTTCGGGTTTTTGCCTCCGGGACTACTCCAAAACGGTGTACCCGGAAGCATGACGACCTACAAAGCGCCTCTTACGTGCCTGTTTGTTCATTTGGTGATGGATTTTTTGGTTGAATGTACTGTCCACTTTAATCTTGAATATACATGCTCAGTTTTAGTTTATGTTGGTGCATTTTGAATGCAATTAGGCTCCGTTAGGTCCTGGTTTTGGTATTTGATTTTCTCGAATTTTTTTTTGCAATTTCTTTCTATTTTTAACTTTCGCCGGAGTCTGGAAATTCCCCCGGAATGTTTAGACCGGGAGAGTTTCCAGACCCGCAGGTCCCTGGAAATCACAAGCAAAACGGGCCAAAAAAACTAAAAGGGGAAAACGGGCTAGCCTTAAATCTCCTTTATTTTTAATGGGTTGTTTCCAAAAAATGCAAAAATGGATATGGGCTGGCCCAAGTTCTATTCGGCTTAAAAACGAGAATGCTTTAAATAAAAGAGGCTATACCCATCAGTCAGCTGAACGAATCTAATGGTTCACTACCAAACCTAAAACATGGGTTTAAGTTGTTAGGGGTTTCACCTTTACTAATTACTTCAAAAAAAATTCTCCATTCCCCCAAAATTCCCCAAGTTCATTAAAAAAAAAAAAAACACTAAACCCACAAAACCAAATCCAACTCCCAATTTTGTTTAACTAAATTTAATTAAATCTAATTAGTTTTTTTTGAATAGTAGTGAAATGGTACAATCATAGTACACACCACAACTCTAATCATGATTTGATTAGGTTAGTTTGGACTAATTAAGACTTGATTAAGTTAATTGAGATTAAGATAATTAATTACCTTAAATTAATTTTAATTAATCATAATTGATTACTTAAATTTTGGTTTAATTTAGTTAATTGAACTGGATCAATGCCAGTCATACTCAATGGTCAAATGGATTAATGGCTTCCATTCCTTACTCTCTAATTTAGTATACGTCTTTTAAAATTTGTGCAGTTAAGTCCTCCATTTTCAATTTATTGAACATGTCTAAAAGTTTTCTGATCTGTTGAATTTAGTCCTCTCTTTTAAGTCATTTCACTATGGCATACTTTTCCAATTCCATTCCATTAAGCCCAGAACTTTCAATTCTCATTTTTATATCCATGGATGTTTGATATACTTCGCTTAAGGTCATTAACTTCACAAGACACCACTAGACCTTAGAAAATCTTTAAAATTAAATAAATTTTTTTCAAAAGAAAATTCATCTGGAGATTTAAATTAAATAAAAATTCTACGTTTTCTTGCCTTTATCCATGTAGTTTCCTTTATGATTTTGCTTCTTACCATAAATACCAGACTGAGAATTTTTTGATCCAATACTTTATTGATTCAACCTCCATGCCATGTATTTCTTAGGGCTCGTTTGCTATAGCGGTTTTGGAGTAGCAGTAGCGGTTAGTGGTTATACTTGAATTGTTAAATATAGGTGTTTGGTAAACTTATATATTTCGAAATTATTACAAATAAAGTGTTTTGTAAAATTTTTATTTAACGATTTGTGACTAACTGGTGGTGGTTAAGGTTTAAATTGTTAGTCGGTTGAAAAAATTAGTTTATGTAACTTTTTAAATCAAATCATTAGTGGATTAGAATTTTTTAATTTTTTTAATTTTTATTACATTTTTAATTAATATTTATT